AGTTAAATCAAAATGACACATGTGAGCCCTAAAAATTAAAAATAAATGAAAATCAAAGAAGTCTATGAAGGAATGGGGGGGGGGCGTGCGCCTCAAGCACTTGCCTAGCAAGCGAGAGGTTCTATAAAATAAGTTTTAAAAAAAAAGCCTATGAATTAAGTTGGTGGCATAACCACACAAACAAAAGAACAACTTCTAACAACTTTAAAATACAGTACTTTGACTACCTGTTGTTGGTGGGATGTGGTCTAACAACAAAATGACATGCAAAGAAATCAAATTTTGCATTTAAGAGTCTACTTGTTAACAATAAGACTGGTATTGATATTTATAAATGTGTTTATCATATAGAAAAAGTAAAATATATAATTATGCTAATATTTTCTAGAACAATATCATTAATTTTACCATGGAAATGTCAGCCTGGGCTCAAAACAGACTAAACAGCAGTTCACAGGAAACACAATGCCAAGTGGAGACAATCAGTCAAATCCACAAGTGAACACATACAGAAAAGGAAGGGGTGGAGTGCTATAAGGAAGTATCTCCAAAATGTACTATGAGATGGGACAACGGACAGAACAGTGAGGATGCTGCACCACCTTTGCGTTTAAAAGGGAAAGGCATTATCTGTTCTTTTCAAAAACACATGTATTTTTAAATTTCTCAAAATATAAGAACAGCAGGGATACATGTTTTTCATTTTGGAAGCATGCAAATGTATTATTTATTGAAAACAATTACAAAGAAAAAGCATTATAAATGTGAGTTACTTGAAAACAATTACAAAGAAAAAGCATTATAAATGTGAGTTACTTTTCGGTATATTGTGAACACTGTAAAAGCACATGTTCAGGTTACTGTATAAACCACTCAGGTTATCTTTCTTTCACACACAAAAAAAGAAAATACATCTTCAAAAAGGTTTTACCACATCTAAAATATTTTCAAATTCTATTAATTTTTTTAAATCCTTAAAAAAAAAAGTACGAAGCACAAATATTCATTTCTTTACTTAATGATACTAGCTAACAATGCAAGCCAGACACTACGCTAAGCAATCCACAAGTGCTAAGCAAGCCACAAGTTAGGAATTATTATCACATCAAATCAATCACCCAAACCCCCTAATTATTACTCCATTTTGCAACTGAGATAGTTGAGGGCATATAGCTTGCCCAAGGTGCTATAACTAAAAAAAAATGAAGAATCAAAATTCCAGGTAACTGGCTACTTCCAGTTACCTGAACCTTAGCTGGACAAAGCCTCCAAAGGGTGGGCTTACCTAGTGCAATTAACAAAAAAGAACGGGGAGTGGCACAAATAAACACTGGCCCAGAGCCCCAGCACGAAGACTCCTCTCTCTTCACAAGCCTGGCTTTTACAGCTCTCACAAGATCAGGCAAAAACACTTTGAGGTCTAAGAAAAAACAGAGTGCAAGTCCAATCCACTCCCCACAAATTCTAGTGCCATGAAAATCTCAATGTAGCCCAAATGTGTATAATACTCATCTAACGTTTTATTTATTCCAACTACTTCCCTAAATCCTTTACATCTCCACAGCTTAACAACATGTATATGAGTAGCCAAATAATTAATGGTGTCCATGGTCTCTTAACCATCGCTGGAGCTGAAATATCCACTCAGCTTTGTCTCTCAAATTTTTATATTATTCTAACAAATCTAAACTTATCATAGCATCATAAAAGAAACCATTTCATCTTGTTCATCACTCTACACATTCTGCAAATCAATTTCATTTGTGAGTTCATCTATTCATGAATAAAAAGGCAACTCAGAACATCCACCTCAGAGCATCAGGCCCACATGACTTCTAAGTATGTGTGAAAATAGCCATCAGCAACAGAAACCCATCCAAAGCGAGAATCCCTGAAGTGGACTTGTTCACTTACCCTCGCTGGCATTTTCTTTCAGCTGTTCCTCATACTCCTGCATTGCTGATACACAGCTATTGTGAATCAGTTCCCCCAGGCGCTTCAGGTCAGCCACAGATTTGTCTACTAATTCAGCATCACGGGCTATGCACTCCAGCCTGAGGAAGGACAAATACGGAGACATTGTGCCCACTATTCTAAATGTCACATGAGATACCACTAGGTCTTATATAAGGTTGCTCCTGCAAAGATACTTTCTCTACCCATCTTTGGGGTAATTCTAAGGCTTCCACAAAGGTTCTTCAACACTTGAAGGGTTCTTTGTTAGTTAACACACTCACCTTCTATCGTAAACAACTGTGCCTTGGCACATTCCAGAAAACAAAATAATTCTACAAATCGGGGAAGAGAGGGTTCAACTCTTTCTACTAAACAAGTGGCTGGCCGCGACTGTGAGTGGCGAAGAGCCTAAAGATGGTCTGCAACAGCTTTGGCCATCTGCACTCACTTCCCATCTTTCCTGTTCTACTTTCCTTCATTTCATGATCACTTCCACAATGTGTTCAGTTCATCCCAAGTGATCTGGGGCATGTCCCAGCCAGGCACCGGTGACTCCTGCCTGTAATACTGGCTACTTGGAAGGCTGAGATCAGGATGGTCACAGTTCATAAGACCCCATCTCTAAACTAACCAAGGCAAAATGAAATGGAGGTGTGGGGCTCAAGCAGTAGAGTACCTGCTTTGCAAGTGCAAAAAGACCAGAATTCAAACCCCAGTCTCACCAAATGAAAAAGTTTCAACCCAATTTTCTCCATCCTGATGGTTTTTATAATAACTAGCTCAAAGGCAGCATTCCACCTTGGGGTGGACAGTCAAGCCCCAGAAAGATGCACATATATGACTTTCACAGTTTCGCTACTTCCTCTCCAAATGGAAAGGACAAAAGAAAAATGCCTTGGTATTTTCATCAGCCTCAAAGAAAGGAAATCTGTCATTTCCTTTAAATCAGTGTTATTTATTTATAGCACGTACTGCTGATTTTATGTAAAATAACTGAATTACACATGAAATAAAAGTCTCCTGTTAAAATACAACCTCTGAATACATTTTATTGTTTGAATGCTTATAGGATAGTAACAATTAACCCTTTTGGAAGTTACTGTGGTGACATGATATGACTTTATGTTTAATCCTCACAACATCATGTTGCTTAGAAGATTATAAAAACGCGAAGAACAATTTTTTCCTTCAACACTACTAAATCTCAGAAATAGAATGCAAATACC